GTGTATCTGTCATGGTATGAGTTGCATACCATGCATGACAGCGGGAGGTGTTGTGGTATGTTATTATTTTACATCAGAGAGAGAAACATGTATGACCACCTCAGAACATATGACACATGAGAATGAGAAAAATGTAATGTGATGGGGCAGTCTGTGCAATGTCCTCATATGTTTTTTTTACGCTAACAGATTTAAAACATATCAGTGCATATCATCAGTGCATATGTTCCCACCCTTGAACAATATGCTCGATTCGTGTCAATTATGATATCATTGTATAATGGTATAGTGGTACACATGGTAGGTATTCTGCAGCGGTATTGTGAAAGTGGGATAAATAGTGGGACAGTGATAGCATGGAAACCGAAATAATGCTGCTTGAAGACATCTGATGAGTGAAAGAATAAGAAAATAGACCAGAAAATGTTGATGCGTGCAGGAGTAGAATGAAAAAAGCTCCAGTAGAGCCGGCCATCGCAGACTGACTTGCCCGAGGTCCAGGAATTGTCAGCAACCTGTTGCAAGCAGGTAGTTAGGATAGCACTGGCAACACAAGGCACACACCAGTTGGGGGAGCGTGAGGCAACAAAAATTCTGCCCCAACAATTTATGTAGCTTTGGGTGCTGTGGACAAAGACACAACGATACAAGGTGAGCAGAGCATGGATGAAGGCACAACGATACAAAGTTTGCATTGCATGCAACCTTACGATGTGAAGATAACGATAAGCAATGTGAGATGCGAAGGAGATCTATGTATATCTCAAATAAGCACTTTTCAACACAGTACAAAACAGGTACTTCATATTTCAACATCTCTGGACCTTTCCCATTAGACCCAGTGAAAACTGGTTGTGCTGGGAAATGGCAGTATGTGTCGAGGTATGTTGGTAGAGCTTGTGGCGAAGAAAGCCATATCACAGCACAATCAAGCACATGATGAGAAAAATAGCAGATTTTTATATGTGGGTGCAGTCCCCCTCATGCTCCCTTGTGTTGTTTTCACGATCCAGCACATTAGCACATATTATGACTTGCTTGATTGTCCCTTCATGTGTGCTCTATTATGCTCAAATATGATATCATTGATATTATACTGGTATTTGCTGGTATGCGAATGTGGGAATGATAACAATACGAAAAGCTATAAAACAGCATGAAAAGCGGTCTAAAACACATAACCATAGAATGCTGAAACCCATTGAAAACCCGTCAAGAAGACTAGTGTATCTTGCCATCGCACATAGTCTTGCTCCATGCACCACTTGCCATTAAATTGGCTGCATCCTGGTCATATTCCTGGAACATGTGTCAGTCAATGTCCGAGAGAGTAGCATAGAGCTGCACCATGGGTTGAGTTGACATGAGGGAGTTGTGTTAGGCATTGAACTCCTCAGTTGTGCCGTTCAATTTGGTTTGTTTCAGCCAATGTAAGGCACACAAGTTCCTGTGGTAGTAGATAATGAGCAGTATGATGTGAATCGAAAAAAACCCACCGTCCGTTTTTGGTTTGGCTAGGACGCATCTTGCCTTTGGTACCAATCTCAGTGTTCTTCCCTTTCTTCACGTCAATGTTCGATTCAGGCGGAGACTTGAGTGATGACTTAGAAGGTTGCAGTGGAGGCAAAATGAAGCGAGAGCAAATCTGTTAAGTAATGTTAGCCGTGAACAGGATAACATATTTTAACGTACAACAACAGAGATTTGAGATGAGGCATGTTGATCTTCATGCATATATGCGCCCTAAAGATGGATTTATTAGCAGAAAAAGAATGAAAAGCAAACATACATGCTGAAATGGAGGATTGTTGCCTGCTCTTGAAGCCGCATCCCTGCAATGTTGGTGCGTGAGCTGGAGTCATTCAGACATGTGTGTGCTGCCTTCACTTCTCCTGCCAAGGAAAGTCAGGACCCTGGCTGTCAGGCCAGGGAAGTCAGAACCTGATTTCCATCAATAGAACATGACTCTGAGTCCTATGCTGAGTCTAGCCAGGCACTACAAGGATGAACAGGGGTCATGCACTGTTAATAAGGGTTATATATATATATTGATGTTTATTTTCTGGTGCGATGCACTATATTAGACAAAACATACAGGTGTACACTGTGAAATGCTATGTACTTGTATGTGATGTCTGTGGTTTGGTCTGATGATAGTTAAAGCCAGCTAAAGGCGATAGGGAATAGGTGTGTTGTTTAAACTCCTTTTTCTTCGTCGTCACATTCTTCATCAAGTGGTGTGACATCCCTGAATATCTGGTCCAGTCTGTGCGCTTTAGATGAAGTGGAGCAATGGTTATTTTACTGCATATCCCACAGGAGTGACTTTCGCGTATATATGGCACATATGGGTAGAGTAATGAGGTCTTTCTGTGGGAGATCATCGCACAATGTCTGAGGCGGTGTCAACGTTGATCAAAATTAGATACAAAAGGCTTGAGCTACATATGACGACTGGTTCTCAATCAACCATTTTTGCGAGACATGCTTGGGTATGAGGGTGTAGCAGAACTAGTCTGAATTACAGACTAGTGATCTGGTTGAATGTCGATGTTGATGCATTAAAGCATTAAGTCGGAAGTGGTTGAGAACCATACTATCAGTTTTCAACTTTGGTCCACCACTGATTTGTGCAGTCACATCCGCAGCAACAGTATCAGCACCATTCAGCATTTGAGTGCATGGGCCTCAGGATGGTAACGACCCAAATGTCCTTAAGATATGGAATTTGCACGATACATTCAATCAAAGGATTATCACTTCATGGTATGCAGTTTTGTCTTGAGACTTTTTTCAAATCGACATCTTATAAGTCCACAAAGTCGAACCTCCAAATCTATGTCTCAGAAGTCGCTGAAGTGGAACTTCCAAATCTATGTCTTACAAGTTGCTGAAGTAGTCACAACCGAATTACCATTACTAGTATCTGATATTTATTCATGTACAATAATGATCGCTACACACGGTCTTCCTCCAGTTAATTCCTGTATACAGGCAAAGATCAGGGAGAACACATCAGTGTCCTAGTTTGAAAGTTTGTTTTGGAGGACTGAGACAAGTTGTTTGAAACCCATGCCTGTATCAACATGCTTGCTTGAGCCACTCCCAAACAAGCATGTTGATACCGGCATGGGTTTCGAACAACTTGTCTCAGTCCTCCAAAACAAACTTTCAAACTAGGACACTGATGTGTTCTCCCTGATCTTTGCCTGTATACAGGAATTAACTGGAGGAAGACCGTGTAGCGATCATTATTGTACATGAATAAATATCAGATACTAGTAATGGTAATTCGGTTGTGACTACTTCAGTGACTTGTAAGACATAGATTTGGAGGTTCGACTTTGTGGGCTTATAAGACGTTGGTTTGGAAAAAGTCTCAAGACAAAATTGCATACCATGAAGTGATAGTCCTTTGATCCAATGTATCGTGCAAATACTGTTCTGTTCTTGAAGTTTGAATTCCTCAACCCAATAATTGTACAAGAAGTATGAGTAAGTAAAAGTACATTCCATTGCTAGACGTGTGGCATGGGTATAATGAGTGATTTCTGTAAACCAAATAAAATGACGATGACCCAAGCTAATCTAAAGCTGCGATAGATCTTGGATCCAACCGATCAATGTCAAAGCACAACAACTCTGCTTGCCCCTCAGTTACAACCTTGGTGTCTTTGAATGAAGTTGCCGTATGCTGGCCAAGTCTCGATATCCATTGACTATGGGTGGCAAATGTGCGTGGATCCCTATTTTTTATCGCGGCAATGTGCCTCATGAACCATGTCTCCAGGCTTGCCGTCCATTCTCCTTGCCACTGCATGTACTTGTCAAATACATCAATGGGAGGCCATAAGATATGGTTGTCATCTGTTAGGCCTAATAGGGTATTGATGTGGGCATCCATTACCATGTCGTCAACATCGGTGCCGATACGCTCGATGTTTGAGTGCATAGAAGCGTCGCTCAAAGGTCCAGACAGGGCAGCCAAAATTAGGTTGTCTGGTCCAAATTGGATTGCAAGTCGCCACAGAAGACCACCCATACCACAGAAACGGTGGCTGAATGGGAGTCGGAGCATATCCCTGACACTGTTTTCATACCACTCAAACTCTCCGTTGCCCCTTGTGAGCAAGAGAGTTTTTTGGTCCAGATAGGCGGGATGTGGACCTGAGAGGGTGCTCAGTGGGCCAATGAGGTGCTGGGGATTGGCAAAGACCCACCAATTCATTCTGTGGGAGAGACAACGAATTGCGAAAAACCACAGGGGGACATCCGGATATTGTGCTCTCCATAGACGCAGTCTGATTTCAGTCCTCTTGGATACGACCAACCTACCATGAGATATGGCATGGAGGAGGTGATATGGAGGGTAACAAGTGATGTGGAGAAGGCGATTTTGAGGATCGCTACACAACAATGGGGAAAGTGGATTGAGGTCGTCGTACTGTGCGAGGCAGTTCATTCAATCTAAGATGAAGCGGGTTACTGTGTTATTGGCAGGACAGCAGCCCATCATGTTCAACCCTGCGACACTTGTTACAGTAGAAGAGGGCAAGAACTGTAGATATCCCATTGGGAGAGACAAAGTGCCAGGAATTGATGACAGTGTAGCAGGTACATTGGTGGAAGGTGCTCGTGTAGAATATGAAGGGTGGCATGAATCAAGAGCTATAAATATAAAACTAAATTCAGGATTCAGAGTAACAATAGTATGTACTCATGGCACCAGTTTGTTTGTGGCCTGCGATGAGGAAAAGGCGCTGTGATAAGAAAAAAATTGTTATGACAAGCTGCCTGTTTTGAGGGAAAGCAAATGTACTGCGATAACTTCTCCGGACAGGACTGTGTTGACGGTTGGACTGTCTGTGACTTCCCCGAGCTCTACCCGGCGAGGGGGATCTACCGCAGTGAATCAAATGTTCTTGGGGAGGTGATCAGTAACGACGAGGAGGCACGCGACGGTCAGACTGAGATGGAGCGTAATCTCTATATGACAATGGTCAACGGGGGGGAGACAGTTCTCTGCGAGATGCATGGTATGATGATCCATGGGGAGGAGGAGACAATGAACAACATGAATGGTTTGGAACAAAGGGTGCATGTGGGCGACAAGGAGAACGATCTTGGTGATTGACTGTGTCCATCTTGCCCTTGGTTGGAGATGGTGCGTGTGACCCAGAGGTCACTTTGCCTGGCTCGATATCAACGTCCATGCTGTTGTCCGCGATAACTCGACCACCCGAATACACCTTCTGTACCCATTTGAGGTGTTGGTGTTCAAGTTCCCTCTGCCTGTCGGCTTCCTTCTGCCTTTCAATCTCAAGGTCCTGCTGCCTCTTGATCTCAAGCTCCCTCTGCCTGTCGGCTTCCTGCTGCCTTTCGATCTCGAGCTGCTTCTGCCTCTCGACTTCCATCTGCCTCTTGATCTCAAGCTGCTTCTGCCTCTCAATCTCGAGCTGCTTCTGCCTTTCAATCTCGAGCTGCCTCTTGACTTCCCTCTGCCTGTTGATCTCCTTCTGCTCCTCCATCTCCTTCTCTTTCTTGTCCTGCGCAACATTGGCTGCTCGTGCATCAGCTTTCTCCTTGAGCTGGTGAGGTGTTGAAACGCAGATGGGCAGGTATTTAGAGTCAGAGTGCTTGTTGAGCGCGTGTTCATAGAGATATAAACCACTGAGAAACGACCTGCTGGAATTTCCAATGAGAAGTTACGGTGAGATTGAATGTAGTTGATGAACAAGTGACGAAGAGCTTAAGTCAAGGATTTGAGTAATCAAGGCAAGCAGAGTGTGAGTAATGTTGAGGTGCCACAAATGGCAATATTGTTGATCCACAATTCCACACACAAACGTGGATATTCCATTTCAGTGGTCTGTAGTTCAACGTGCTATAGATAATGATTATGTGGAGTCGCGGATCCTTCAACTGTGGTCAAATTTAATGTTTTGAGATTGAGGTACACTGAGAACCAACTGTGCTGAGAATGGATGGTGTTCCATGAAAGTTGTCAGAGCTGAGCAAGATCAACTCTCCAGAAAATAATACTAGGACATGTGCAAATGTGTGTGCATACAATATTTTCTCATTACTCTAGGTTGTACCAGATCTGTTACAATGATATTGGAAATGTGAATTACATGTACATGGCTACAATAGAACACGACTGCTGGATGCGCTGTTGCTGTCCATTCCAACCTACACTCATTTGGTCTTGTGCTAGCCCACCTTTGTTCCAATTGACACTGGAACATCAGCAGATGATTAGGATCAAAAATAGCGAGGTCACAGGAAACCAGAGAGAGCACGCTACCTGACATAGGAGTACCAGCATGGTTTACACTGATTGGGTTCATGGAAGCGGGGCAAGGGGGATGGGACTGGCATTACAGTAGGCGAACTTGGGGGTGAGGTGATATGGGGACGCAGAGTTTCTGCAGCCGTCCATGGTCACGACAATGGTGTTATCTGTAGCTTGATCAATTGTAGGGCTGCATAGACGAGTCACAAGGTGAAACCGGGAAATGGGTATACCTGTGGTATATGTAGTATATGTAGGGCAAACTGCTGCAAGATAATGAATGTGAATGTGAGGAAGTCTCATACCAGAAAAATTTGAGCGAGTGCAGTCTGAAACAAATGAAGCAGTTGAAACGCGTCAGTTTCTCCATAGTGTTGTGCAAATGGTTGAGCATGATCTACTTCTAGGATAACCTCTGCAATCAGCGAATACATGTAGAGTTGTACACCACTGAAAAGTCTTTAGTACATTGACCTCTAAGTGAATGCAAGCAATGCCGGATTACAAAAAAAAATGTGCGACATGAACCTGCAACAACTAGTAAACTAGGAGGATTGAGAGGAAGGGGCAATCTAATGTTTTGCCTGCGGTAAATGTGAGCATGCGGTTGACAAGGAAAATGGTGTTCGTACGATGAAGGGATCTGGTTGAGGACCGCTATGGAGGTGTTGTAGAGGAGATGATGGGGGGTTCGATGAGGGAAGGCTCAGTTTGACCCGTTTATTGAGGGGAATGATGTAATGAATGGTCATAAGCCAATCCAACGTAGCAGGAAACCCTTTGAGCCATTTGTAGATGGATTCTAACAGGAGTTAATGAGAACCCTAGAATGTGATGCAATGAAACACTGACCGAATCTGGGCTGCAGTCGTCCTGTTTTAGCACGAACATAAAATAGCTCAAATGCGACAGGGTTGCCATTTAGTCGAATCTCTAGAACCGAATGACTCTTGAACTGTGCTGTTAAATGTTGACAAATCAAAGCCTTGGAGTACCTTGGACAATAAGTGTTCTGAATGTCTGATGCAGAACTGCTCGAGCAGTAGCCTGAATGTAGACCCAGAAATGAACGGTTCTCTGAGGGTCCGGGCATCAAAAAATTGGGTCTAGTAGGTAAATAAGAAGCGAGAAAATGAACTAAGAATTCACTTACTCTGTCGTGGAGTTTATCATGTTCAAGAAAGTTGCATTGAGGTCATTGATCGATGAGCATGAGCATACGTTTTCGAGCCAGTCCTCGACTTCTTTGAGGAGGGCTTTGAGAAGAGGCTCTTGATCAGACTGAACAGACGAAGTCAATGAGGATTGACACATCACGATCAGCAATGACATTGTGCCATTTGGACACAGAAATAAATGTGTCACAGAGGCTTTGTTGAGAAATGGGAAAATGTTGTGTATGAGTTTGGTGATGGTATATTTTCACTTTCAATACTGAGGGGTCATCCTGACGGTTCATGCTCGCGCTTGCGCTTTGAGTTGTCTTGAGGAATTCTGGAGTTAGAGGACATCCTGTGCATATCAATTGAAGGCAAAAGACTCAATGGGTTGGACTTACATTTGTGGGTTGGATGATTTGGTGAACGAGAAGGGTGTGGTTGTCACGATGAGTGAGTTGTTTGGGAATTTAAGAATGATTTTGAGGTTGCCTAGGCACTGATGGTTTCGACTTCATTCTGTATCGGTGTGTTTTTCTCCTATAATTTACCCCACACGCGATTATGGTTGGCTGTGTTTGTGACTTGGAATTAAGATTCACCAGATAAGATCTACCTCTGCTTCAATATCATGAAGCGGAACTACTTCCGCATTGACATTTGTAAGTTCATGACATTCAGCTGAATCGCCTCTCAGAAATGACCCCTGCAGGTGTGATATGTTGATATTTGACAGGCATAGGATGTGGACGTGAAAACTGGTGTTGGATGGACCTCTGGAGTTTGAGGACGAAAGTTGAGACTGATGGTGTTAGATGTCAGCCTGAATGATTGTGTTCAATCAGGGACAAGAAGACTATTAAGAAGGGGTCTTTGTTCTATCCTTGCCACTTTTGACAATCAAGTACCAGTAAAACCCATCTGGGCTTGTTGAGTCTGAGTTCTTGTTAGCAATATGGCGGTTCTCGAGGAAATCAAAGAGGCAAGGGAATAGGGTATGTAAATATTCGTCAATGTCACTTCTTGTCATGTTTGGTGCAATCTGCAGATCTTCGTCATCAGGTCCCTTTGATACAGCAAGCTTGAGCTTTTGCAGCCCTTCGGTCTTGTCTGTGTCAGGTGTGAGCTTCCATTTCATGCAGCCCTTTCTATTCTAATAGACATAATTGTTGATGTCAATGCGAGTCTTGGGGGGGCACAATGAATTTAGGTACTCACAAGTCCAACGGTCACCATGACAATTGATCCAATACCTGCCTTTCGAAGGTTTGCTACGGTTTTCTTCTATACATGAAATTCAATCAACAAGTTGTAGCATTGACATCCTAGGGGATCTAATTACCCTTGGCATCCTTACTACTGCTGACCTTTGTCATGTGGCTTGTTGAGGCAGACAAGGCTAAGTCTTGCTTTTGAAATCCCCTGTTTGTCTCTCAACAGGAAAATTCCTCAGATGAACCTGTTTTTGACAGCAGGTGAGAATATTTGGACATGATTGAACTGAAGCTGGAAGACGATGTTGATGGTGGCTGTTGCAGAATGCCTTCCTGTGGGTGGGATGTGTCGAAATGACCACAGTTTATACACATTGCAGGCTCGTCGTCCTTCTGGTCCTTCCCAAGTTTCGGGCGGAGACAAGGACACTGGGAGCCATCACTGGTTTTGCCTCAACATGTTTGTTCCACAGTCAGCAACATCATTAGCACTAGTGATGGTAAGCAACATGGTCGTGGTTTTTTGTGATGGAATTGATTTTAAAGGATTCTATCACAGCCACTTCATTTGTCACATATTTTCTGACATATTCAATAGTAGGATTATCATTATTCTAGCAAGTAATGCAGTACTGAAAGACCTTGTGCCCAAACAAGAGCACAGGGCATCCATATTTGGGTGGGAGGTGCATCATTAAGGTCTTTGTCTTTCAAAAGCCTACAAATATATCATCGTGAGTTTCATAAGTATTGATTGCCCACTCTGAAGCGGGAAGAAATGTATCATCAGGCTTCACACCTGCAGATTGCACATCAGCGAGGGCTTGGTGGAAAATGACCTCTGCTTCGGGAGAAGGGAATGGATCAGGTCACCGGCAATCTCGTCTTGTAAGGTGGTTTGAGTTTGCACATTGGAATCTTCTTCATCAATGTGAGACAGTGGTGGGCCACCAGTACCATAGTATCGGGTAAGTATATCAGGGTGTACATCATGCAATGGATTGATAATATAAACTCTGTTCTCAATATCAGGGAGCAAACAAATATCCTAGTGAGAGTAAGCAGAAAAATTGATGCGAGAATTCCTCTACTTACCAGTGGAGATTGGTGCTGTGTTGTTGGACCAGAGATTGGATGATGGTTCCATTCCTCCACAAAAATCTCGCAATCTATGTTCACGAGATCAAGAAAAAGAAACGGTAGGAGCCATAAGTGGTGGGGATTCTTGCGAATTAGCCCATGAAGGCGTTCAAGGCATGTGAAGAATGCCTTCCATCATCGGGCAAACTGACAGCCAACCTCTACCCAAAGGCATTCAATTCTGGTGTTATGAGTTGAGCTATGGGAATTAGAAGCCCTCCCACTAGCTTAGAAAAGGGTCACTGCAACTCACAATCCCCATAAGAATGAGCCATGGTTGGACCGTGGTGCATCACCATCCAAACAGAAACCTCAATATTTTCACCCCCTCGATCTCCTCTCATCCAAAGAGGTATTCCATATTTTTCTATTGTTTGTAGAAATATTTCTAGGGCTGTCGAAGCATGATTATTGTTTGCTCGAAGAGCTACAATCTAAAATTCAGTGAGTTCAGCAAATCAGTAATATAAAAAAATAACATTTTGTTTGACAATACCATCAACAAGTCCATGGAAATCCCCCAGAGGATGAGTTTGTGATGCCTGTCGAAATGCCAGATATGGTTGGACCATGGCACAGCATATTTCCGATGCTGAATCACTTTGTGTCACCGTAGCATCTGGCCCACACCATCAACTCTATGCATTGAGCTCCTCATTCGATGCCGCGGAATCCAAACACTGTGGGATCGTAGAAAAGCCGACTAGGTAATGCAGGCCAGAATCTGGTTTGTGGATTTTGAAGGTCTTAACAAGAACATCAAGATCAGCATTGCAGATTTGCTGAGAATTGCTGATGCACATTAGTTTGAATGTAATTTTTCATCAGGGGAGAGAGTGCATCTTCAAGCCAATCACTGTTGATGACTTTGCGAGGATGTCCATGTGTCTGGTGAGGTGTTGTCTCCATACTGATGGGATTGACCTTGGCATATCTAGAATTTGCACTATACAAAAAGCTCATTAAGATTGCTTTTATGCGACGTGCCGGGAATTGTAGGGGACGATAGCCTTCCAACATAATAGTACCAAACCCAAGAGAATTTCCGTGTCAACTAGTAAGTGTGACACATAAACCGTCAGCACTTCAACATTTCAACTGTGTTTTTTTTTTCATGTTCCTGACCTTGTCGATGCTTGATTTCTAACCTACTGCAATGACTCGGAGCTCAGTAGCACCCGGAGGGATACAAAGGTAAATGTCTGCTTCCCAGTTGTCTACATCTGAATTGAATGTATTCACCGTGACTGCCATCAAATAGACCAAACATTCCGCAATGCTCGGCAGCTCATTACTGTAGTGAATTTGTTGTTCTATAGGTAAGTTCTACATGTGTAACTATTGAATCATGTCCTAACTACCCCGTGGCCATGTTGGTTCTCACTAGGTTCAATCACAGCTCCATCATGTTCCAGCTGACCTTCTTGCATGATGGTCCCATGTGTTTGTGAATCTATTCTTGTTGCCTCGCACTGGCATCCGTCAAGATGAGGGCTTTTCGGATGAATCCCCAATTGTATTGCATGGTCATTCCAGTGCTGACTTTGATTGTCTTCTTGATCACATTTTTGGAAGGTGTGCCATTCAGCTGCCTACTATTGAATCACTCAAAGATTCAAGAATTCAAGCTGATACTATGAACGAACCTAGTCCAACAAACACTGAATCTGTGCCCTTTCTTATCTCACTGCTTAAAATGGGTGCCGTCTTCGACATCAAAGTCGCAAAGTTGCATGCCATCCATCATCTCCAAACCCATCCAGATCTCCATCCAACAACAAAACTCCAGCTTTGCCACCGCTTCAGAATCATCGCATGGCTTTCTCCAACATTCAAGGCACTGGTATGTCAACCCATTGAAAGTCTTGATCCATCGGTATTAGCACAAATTCCCACTTATATCTTGCATGCTCTGATTCAAGTAAAACACTGGATTATGATGCACAGGTTAACGCTGGCGGCTGTCACAGTGGGAGGGGGAGATGTCCATTTCAAATGTCAATCGAGAACTTGGTCAGAAATACCAAGATCTTTCTTGTTTGCATCAACATCACCTCCACTAGTGTGCTCTTGCTGTATATACTATACGGCAGGCCTTGAACTTTTCAAGCACTTGATTATGTCAGTAATGCACTTGCTCCGCCAACACACATCCCTCTAAAATTCACTGTCGCCAGATGGATGATTCTTCTTCCCTCCAGAAGAACCCATTCCTTCTTGCTTGTAATACATAGCATAGTGCCTCACAATTCGTGACCTTAACCAACTCTACATGCCCAAACTCTAATACGTGGTAAATTAACTCGCAATAAGTGCTCGAAGTTGTCAAAGTTACAATGGTCGCTGAAGTCCTCAACTTCCAAATATGGATGTCTCGTAAGATGTCATAAAAGTCTGTCTTGCACTCCCTTTACTCCAACACCATGTCTTTGGCTTCTACTTGCAAATTCCAGTTAGTCACACTAGCACACTTCTCAACTCAACACCTGTGTTGCAATTCAATACATTGTGATGTCCCGACACAATGCAGAGTCTTCCAGCACTCTCCCCCAACATCCAAGTCTGCCCGCCATTCCCACAGGCCCACCATGCTAGCGCTCTCCTCATGCAGCCCATGCCTTGTTGACTCCTGCAAGCAGTGAGGTGTGTCATCGCTTGGATAGGCTGGGAGGAAGAGGATTGTGACCCAGGTGTTTAAAATGAAAGTGTAGATACCAGACAAAGCTCTCAATATGTGAAAATGCGCAAAGTGGGATGGACCTGCATGACTTTGAGGACATAATATATATTTTGACTATGATTTTAGGGACTTCCAAGACTTTGAGGACATAATATATATTTTGAATACCACTTTGAGGACTTCCAAGACTTTGAAAACATGATTTAGATTTCGACTACGACTTTGAGGACTTTGAGGACCTACTGCATTCACATTATGCTTACCAAGTTTCTAGCTACAAGTGGAATTCCTATCATAAAACACTTCTGACATCCTCAGCCGTCCACTCCTGATTGAAGCCCACAGTGGTGCAGAGTTCTTATGAAAAAACATTACATAAATTCTAGTCTGACACTGTTAAACCACAATCGAATTCACTTAAGACTCTCATCTCATCCTAAACTTAACGCATTAACTACCCTCTCCCAACTCGTTCCAAAAACACGTCTGGCATTATCTTAATGAGGAAATTCCTCATTGAAATAACATGGTACAGCTCAAGCAAACTGAGAAGAAGCCAAGACTTCAGCACTCCAATCTCACCAATTCAGCCTTAACTCCCAAGGAAAAGCAATGCGAACAGCAAAAAAGATGGCTTGCCAATGAGAAACGCAATCCACACAGTGCTCAAGAGATGAAGGAACAGAACACCGCCAACAAATGGGCATGGCGAAAATGCAAGAGAGAGGAAATGCAGAGCAAACAGCACATGCCTGACACAAACTCCCAAGGCCACGCCCCTCAAAAGCGGCCTCAGACCTCATCTCCTGAAGCGCCTTCAGGTCATGTGGGCCCATCCATCTCAGAACCCGACACCATCCCCATCGGCCCCATCCTCCTGGCACAGGAGACCCTCACAACCATTGTGACGCCCTGCCAAATGTGTGACATCGCCGTCATGACAGACACGCCCAGCCCTCCCGTCAATTGTTCCTCCATTCCAGATGACCAAGCATACCCCTCACCCACCTTGTCTGCAGTCACCGACCTAGAGTTCCGCGATCTGGCAAATCCTATCATTGGCTCCCAAGTCCATGAACAATCAGATACCGTTCAATGGGACGATGGATCTACCACTGTGCTTCCCTGCATCATGAAGAACGGCATAAAGATATGCAAAGAAGACGCCCTTGCAGTATCGTTTTTTGCTTCACTCCCAGAATTGCTTCCCATGACCTCAAAAAATGTTGTCCACTTACAGCATAGTGATCAGTGCTTTACAAGCTGACAGTTATGCGACAAGATATCTGCAGCGCTTCGCATCAACAAAGCCGTTGTCATTCAGCAAGTGAGCACACCCAAGCCTGCAACGCTTGATTTAGAATACCTGGAAGATCATGGAATGTCAGACCTCATGTGTGTCATACTACATGGTGAGTCTGTCAACATCCATCTTGTTTCTCACCTAATGTAATGCTGCTAAACAGACGCTGAATAATGCACGAAGGATTTACATATCCCCACCAGAACGCAACACTTGCAGAATTCATACCCGTCATATCTGAGGTGCATACCGTACCATCGCACGCCATTACAATACTAACCCATCCACACCTAGTACTCTCGACAGTGGCATTACCAATGGATGGAATCAAACTGTCATATCCCGTATTCCGGACCTACGTCCGATGATGTTCCCATGCCTTCCGGACACCTTCTGCATGCACATCCGGACCTCCATACCCTTATCCATGCCTTCAGTCCTCCAGTCCACTATCGGTTTGGATCCGTACACCTTCGTACATCCATATATCCATACCTTCGGACCTCCGCAGCTAAGGCTGCTTCATCCACCCTTAGTCCTATCGGATCTGAGCTCATTCCATCTTGGACTCTACCTTCCCTAGACTATCGGTCTATATCCATGATCCATATCCTAGTCTCATCTTCACCTAGATCTCCGGATCCGCTCATCCGATATCCAGACGCCTTATCCGATATCTCTAGACCTCCGGATCTGACCTATACTCATATCCGAAGCCCAAACCTTAAATCAGCGTCTATCTCCTTATGGTAATCCCCTTGACTCCGGACTTCGGTTATCTGTGTTTCTGTCTTGCTTATTGATCCTTGTACTCTGTTCATCTCCGAGTTCATTTACTTATGTTCCGTTCATACTTACCAATATGTTTCCACATGCTCGTACATAGCATTTGTGTTCAGCTTACTGATCCTCTCGGATCCCTTCCAGTATATAAACCTCTGTACAACTCCTGTAAAGTTTCCTTAGTTCGAATATCTATCTTAGACTTCACTCATTCTTGTCTTGGACTTTGGTCCATCTTAGTCTGACCTTTCCTTAGGCCTAGGGAAGGATTCCCTAGGCCGACTTTCCAGTCCTCCAGATTTATCCTTCCATCTATATCCATGCTTAGGGATTGACTCCCTAAGCCGAAGTTTTGCCTTTCCGGCACTTCCTGTCTTTCCGAGACTTCTGTCTAAACCCCGTCTATCCGACTCTACCATAGTGTAGTCTACCTCTGTTTGTTTTTACTCCGGACCTTGTCCATAGTAGCCTTTCCCCTCCTGTCCTAATCCTGTCTGCTCCCCTGGTCCTTGTAAGCCTTCGGACCTTCGGACATCATAACCTTTAAACATCGTAACCTTCGGACGTCGTAACCTTCGGACGATGCAACCTTCAGATGTCATAACCTTCGGACGATGCAACCTTCAGACGTCTTAACCTTCAGACCTCCGGACGTCCTGTCCTTCGGACCACTCCTCCTATCCTATCCTGCTTTGGACTCTGTCCCTTGCAGCCTATCCTCTATGTGTTTCTATCTAGGGAACTTACCTTGGGAAGTCTTACCTTCGGATCTAATACAGTGGATGAAACTCCTCCGGAAGTTTCTCGCACTCATCCAGAAGTCCTTCGGACTTTGTCAGATTCCATCTAGACTTTATTCTGAAATTAAGGGCACGTACTCGGGTAAGGGGCACAGCGCACAAGCTGAGGCCAAGCCCTTCGGATCTGTCTACCCTTGAGCTATGGTCTTAACACAAACCACAGTCGATTGCCCCATCAGTGACAAAGTCCATCTGGACAACTTCATTGTACATTCGTGGTCTTTGCTCCACAGGTCCACGTATTGGACAAATCCCCACCACAATTCTGATGGCAGCATGACCTTTGTTCAAATTGAAACCGGTGAGAAAAAATGGGGCCTATTCAAACCAATCCACAAGGACACGATTACTCGGACCAACCTCTCCGACATAGCCTTAACATTGACTGATCTCTACCGAAACTGAGAGAATATCCAGGAAAATTGGCACGGAGAAATTGTCACTCTCTTGCCAGGTGACATGCTGTGAGTGCATCATGATATTATATCAATTTGGACTTATATTGGGAGTATACAACTGGCAGGACAGTTTCATGCGCTTTACACACCTGTGGCTTTGTTTGCCACTGGGGGGCATTTCTACAACTACGAATGCATGCATTTAACAGAACTTTCTCATTACATAGACCATAAACAAGGCAAAATCCTCACTACCCAAGTACACGCACACTCCTTAACCGCATGAAGTCGCAGACTTGTAATGCTATCTCCAGAGTTATACAACAGGCCCCTCATCGCCCTGTGCACTATGGTCTTGGAATGCGATAAATATGTGGCTGCTGGCACCAAAAAAACCAAAAGTGCGATCGAGCACCACTCAACCAGCGCACGATATTGCAAATACCATCATCAAATATTTCTGGAAGGACTTGAAGATGGCAACCAAGACATATTGCAAGAAGCAGACGGACGGGAGCAACAACCAAATGCATCCAGGGGAACCCATCAGTAGAGAAGAACCGTTGACCTGCCTAAAGTGCTTTACAACATTGTAATGTTGTCTGATTCATTTACGTACCTTCAATCTCAGAGACTTCATATACCCACACTCCTACAATACCATAACATCAATTTGACTTCTGTCGCTTAGAGGACTCTATGGACGCTCGGACTTTGGCGCATCCAGCAATCTCCTGGACTCGTGCTTGTTTAAGTAGTGCTCTCCATTCATACGTAACATTTGCATGAATATGGCCACTGAGTTAAACCTCAATGTTGCATTTCGCAAAGCCTGCCTAAGTACAAATATTGACTTGTTAAATGAGTCAGACATGACTCATATGTCGGGTTAGTTCCAAGGGCAGCACAAAATTACATTGCCTAGATATGGTATCAGATGGGCATCATTCTCCACTTAAATTGGTGGGATTCACACATTTCCCAAATGCTGTGTATATCATATTTATCGCCACTATTTGGAAACATCCTCAGGCTGTAAGGCGTTATACCCAGATGGGTACATGGGAGTATTTACTATATATGGTCATGGAAAGAGCAACTCTGATGCTCAACACTTGCATGTAATGGATACTACACTCATAGCCACCCTTTTAAGACCTTTTCCCTCGTAATTTGAGGAATATGTCTCCTGGCCAAATATGCACATTGAATACTGTCTCGAAGCTCTGGTATCCATGAAAGGATTTTTGCCAGACAAGTCGCTGCCTGCTGTTGCCTCGCTGCCAAGTTGATGGCAGGAAAGGTTCCGTTCTGTGTAGACTTCTTTTTTCTCAATGCTGCTCGTAATTCTGTCATCATCATGTATTAAGAGACTGTAACAGTGAAACAGAAAATGTAATATTAGAGGACTCAGATACTTTACTTTGAATTTTACCATATACCCTCGGAAGTTGCCAAAGTCTTAGAAGTCTCCAAAGTAACTAGAAACAACACATTTCAATCATACCAATTTCCCATGGCCTAGTGCTCTTCCATCCATGCTCTTCTATTCAAAACACTCTGATGTTTGTCAGGCATGACCCTTTGCTTCATAATTCAAAGCAGATGCTTGTGGCCAATGTCTCTGCAGTCTCTAAGCTTAATGTCTAAAGTCTCAGGAGTCGCTAAAGCTGCCAAAGTCACTAGTCCAGTCTCCCAAGGTGCCACAGTGGACTCAAACCTCCCATGCCAGTGCCCTTCTATCCCAAATGCTCCAACCTCCCTCAAGTACAAACATCTGCTTCGTAATTCGAAGCAGACATTGTGGCCAAAGTTTTTTGCAGTCTCTAATCCCAATATTTACAACTACACATCTTTGCTCCGTAATTTGAAGTAGATGTTGCCAATGTCTTTGAAGTCGCCAAAGTAAAACAGCTACTGTGTTTGACTTGGACCTCCCACAGCACTGCTCTTCTATCCTAAACACTCCGGTGTTCGTCAAGTACCACCCTTTGCTCTGTAATTTGAAGCAGATGCATGTGGCCAACATCTCCATAGTCACTAAGCTTAATATCTAAGCCTCAGAAGTCGCTAAAGCTGTTTAAATTTGCCAGTCCAGTCTCCCAAGGTGCCACATCTGACTTTAACCTCTCACGCCAGTGCCCTTATATTCAAAATACTCAGACGCTCATACAAACCTCTGCTTCGTAATTCGAAGCAGATGTTGCCAAAGTCTTGGAGGTCTCCGAAGCTGCTATGTTTGACTTGAACCCCTTGGTACGCCAGTGCCCTTATATCCAAAACATCCCGATGCTCATACAAACCTCTGCTTCGTAATTCGAAGCAGATGTCGTCAAAGTCTTGGAGGTCTCCGAAGCTGCTATGTTTGACTTGAACCTCTCACGCCAGTGCCCTTATATCCAATGTACTTGGATGTTCGTACAAACCTTTGCTTCACAATTTGAAGCAGATGTTGCCAAAGTCTTGGAAGTCTCCAAGCTGCTACATTTGACTTGAACCTATCACGCCAGTGCCCTTATATCCAATGTACTCGGATGTTCGTACAAACCTTTGCTTCGTAACTCGAAGCAGACACTGTTGCAAACGGCTCCATAGCCTCTAACCCTAATGTCTAAAGTCTCGGAAGTCGCTAAAGTCACCAGCCTCCAAGCTGCCACGTTTGACTTGAACACCACACGCAATTACTCCTCTGTCGAAAACACCTTGACCTCCTTCAAGTAATAACTTTTGCTCCGTAATTCGAAGCGGATCTTGTGCCCCAATGTCCCTGTAGTATCTAAACCTAATATTTAAAGTTGTTGAAGTTGTTGAATTCACTAAAGTCATTGAAGTTGCCAAAGTCATCAAAGTCTCTAAAGTCATTGAAGTCGTTGAAGTCGTTGAAGTTGCCAAAGTCATCAATATCATCAATGTCGCTAAAGTCCCACAAGTCTGTGAGGCTCCCAGGTTTGACTTTAACCTCCCATTGCACCGTGTTCCTATCCAATACACCTCGATGTTTGTCAAATACGAACCTTTGCTCGGTAATTATTCGAAGCAGATGTCATCATACATCGTCAAACGCTGCCGTTTCACCCAGCCTATCCAAGCGATGACACACCTCACTGCTTGCAGGAGTCAACAAGGCATGGGCTGCATGAGGAGAGCGCTAGCATGGTGGGCCTGTGGGAATGGCGGGCAGACTTGGATGTTGGGGGAGAGTGCTGGAAGACTCTGCATTGTGTCGGGACATCACAATGTATTGAATTGCAACACAGGTGTTGAGTTGAGAAGTGTGCTAGTGTGACTAACTGGAATTTGCAAGTAGAAGCCAAAGACATGGTGTTGGAGGTAAAGGGAGTGCAAGACAGACTTTTATGACATCTTACGAGACATCCATATTTTGGAAGTTGAGGACTTCAGCGACCATTGTAACTTTGACAACTTCGAGCACTTATTGCGAGTTAATTTACCACGTATTAGAGTTTGGGCATGTAAGAGTTGGTTAAGGTCACGAATTGTGAGGCACTATGCTATGTATTACAAGCAAGAAGGAATGGGTTCTTCTGGAGGGAAGAAGAATCATCCATCTGGCGACAGTGAATTTTAGAGGGATGTGTGTGGCGGAGCAAGTGCATTACTGACATAATCAAGTGCTTGAAAAGTTCAAGGCCTGCCGTTATAGTATATACAGCAAGAGCACACTAGTGGAGGTGATGTTGATGCAAACAAGAAAGATCTTGGTATTTCTGACCAAGTTCTCGATTGACATTTGAAATGGACATCTCCCCCT